AGAATTTGAAATAAGAGCTTCTTACTTCTTATCTGGGGACCTTAAAATAAGAGTTTTCTTCTTAATTTAAGAAATCAAACTTTTAGAGTGTGATGTGAAGGTGCAAAGACGATGGCTAGACTATAGAATACAGGGCCCACTTTAAAGTTATTTGACRAGCCACTGGCTCGGCGGCTCGGCAGTCCAATAATTATATAGTCAAATGCATGATGCATATTAAACAATACCTTGCTCGCCGGCTCGCGTCCACTTTGAAATTATTTGGTGGGCCACTGGCTCAGCGGCTCGGCAGTCCATAACAATACCTGGCTCGCCGGCTCTACGGCTCGCCAGTCATGAGAGTCATGGGTCAGTCGCTGTTAAAATACTGAACCTCGAACGGTTACAACTTAAAAACTCTATGGCAGCATCTCATGACGATATGTGATAATCATATATAAACGTTCAACAAAGCATCCCCAGTACCGTTCTAATACTGAATACAGTAAGACCACTTACAACGGCAGCGCCATWATGATGACAATATGTAATCATATATACCATTAAAGTCTGCCCGCTTTAATAACCATTAGATTTAGAATTATTCCATATACAATCAACTCTCACCTTACGGACTCTCGCTATTACGGAATTACGGTCCCAATTGCACATTTTGATTGTTTTATCCCTCTTGTAAACAAACACGCTTATACTTAAAAATTTACAAAAATTCAAGATACAAACACTAAATATCTACTTAATAAGTCCTTGAACGTTTATGTTCGATATCAGTGTAGTCATTGCTGTTCACATTCAGTGTAKAAAAAATCCATAATTATTTACAACAGTACAGCTTCTTTACATYGCTTAGAAAACATTCAAATAAATCCTCCTCTTTGTGGATGTACCTCCATAAAAATTCAGCTAAATGGGAGGAAAACATGTCCTTTCTCACTCCAAACTTGGGCAATTTCACCTTTGCTTGACGCCAATGTCCCTCTATTCTGTTCGTAAGCTCTCCAGCTTCGTTTTTAAACTCTTTCGAATGGTTCACTGTACTAYGTGTGTAGCCATTCTTTTCTAGATTATAGTATGCCTTCCAACAATCTGATACAATGTGAGTTCCAGGAGCAATATATTTCTTGATAATTGGCAGTAAAGTTTTCTCATCTCTTTTATCTACGGCAACCATAAAACATTTCCTACTTCCATCCTCAATGCCACCAAAAACCCATTGACCGTCCACTCTATGTCCTCAATGATACTTTCTTTTCCCAAACTTACTTTCATCAATCTGCACTACCTTCCCTTCACCTCCGATTCTTTCACTGTCTCTTTCCAGCGTAACTTCGCAAGTTTCACGACAGAAAAAATCCCAGTCAACCGCAGTATTTGGACTCAGCTTCAACTGTTTCTTAATCTGTTCTTGCTCTAGGCCAACACACCACCRATAGGTGAATTTGATTATCTCTAAAGTCATGTTGCTTTGATCAAACCAACTTCCTTTTCGAATGCTAATAACACTCTTGTGTCTTTTTCCTTTAATTCTCCTTCTGCACTCCCACTTGAAACCATCTGATCTATCRTCRCATTCCACCATTTGCATAGTTCCGTTGCACATTGGACAGTCTCTCTCCTTGGCGATCAATTCTTTCTCAAGTAACCACGTAAATAGACGTTCTCGATTCTCTAACACCTTGTCTTTCAGGTCATCGTAAGTCCAATGTGACGCGCAGCTTTCGGCTTGACGATTGTAGCTGGAGATTCCACCACTTCCRCATTGCGTTCCTTTTTCGACCTTCTTAAACTCTCCTACTTGTGCACCAAYATTTCTAAACACTTTTCCAGAACGACAGAACATCTTCAGATTAATGCTATCAATGAATGCTCTSACACTTGTTATCAATTCGCCTACATAGTAGCGCATCCACACACAAAACAACTGAGTATTTTAATTTTCAAAAGAATCAAAGCAGCCGAGGCAAGGGCGGTCTCGCTTTAAAACAATTGTTTTGTGTTCATTCAAGCAAATACGAGAAATGATCGCGACTATTATCATCTTGGTTCAATTGATGTTCACAACTCTCTAAGTAATAGTATTTCTTATACTGACCGGCCTCAATTTTCAAAAGTATCAAGGCAGATGTGGAAAAGCATTTACMTCAAGAATGCAGTGCATTATAAATCTAAACAAACTCTTAGAGTACTGTCATTCGATGATGTCAATATCTTATGCCGTTGAACGACAACGCCTGTTTCATTTGCTTGATGGAGAACTATTTTACAGTGCAGCTCTTTGGCCTAAATGGATCAAGTTACTTTTCTGGAAGAAACCAATCAGTGATAGAGAAACATTCCAGTTATTCTGCTTTTTCAGTGGAAATGGATGTCCCCATGAACTTTTTGCACAATGGGTGCTGTCTTCGCAAATGTGTCATCGTTACARCAATGAAACACTCCAGAAAAGAATCGCTCAACTGGTTTGGTTATTTAAAAACTTTGAAAAGCATCAACATCGTTGGTTCTACTTTGATCTACATCACCAAATGTACATTTACTTAAACGGCACTTACAAACCGTCAAAATGAAAATACTTCTTTACAAGTYGTCAAAGAATGCAGAAGTAAACGAYTCATGTAAATCTCTGTTGTTATTTACACTACAGTCATGTCATGACATATTCAAGTTTTCTGTATTAATGTTCTTGCTACTTGCAATAATTAAGACATTCATTCTTTATATTTTACAATTAAAAGCTTTACTACTACACACTTTTTTGATAACATGTAAAGTACTTCAATAATTGCCATTTAATAGACATGTCGTGTTAAAGTTCTATCCTTTTTACACAAATGATTGTATGTTATTGTGTTACTTCTCGCTGTGTTCTTCATAATTTTAATATTGCATTCAATMAAATATCYGAAATATAAATACTACATCATTCATTACAACRCRYGTCTTAGTAGTGACTAAACTCTTATTAACCAATATGGCCTYGCACCTRTTATTTCGCTCGYTCCCGTGTCTCTTGGGATTCCTACAAATAAGTATTTTGTGGCTGACATCTTTATTTTATCAGTTTTTTGTCTTTTTAGCTGTTACAAGGTGCACCGGCCCATAGCAAACCAACAAAGCTTTTCAAATGTATGGTTGCATAACAATAGGTGCTGGGACGGTATCCCTAAATGTCAAAGAAGAAATCTGAAGGTGATAGTTTATTTAGCTAATTTAATAATTAGAATAAAGCCACTAAACAAAAGCCTTTTTGAAATTATTATTGGTCAAACAATAGTTTCGGATGCAAGCAGTGGCCTGACAAATTAACAATAACTGAAATGCACTATAAAAGATGTGACTACCACCAGATCTTTCTACTTCTATCGGCAGTAATAACAAAGCTATAGTCAATCTGAATCACCATGTCAAATCCTATCTTACGTCTGTCTCGTCAAAGTGAAGCAACTTGGGCTTCTTTTCATCGGCGAGTATCGAGTATTCCTTATGATTACTCCAAGTTATTTCCAGAAYCTGTATTCAACTTTCTAAAACATAAAGCTTACTCGATGGGAAGTTCTCTTGGTTACCTGGTGCCTTCGKTGTTAAYGTCAACAGCCTATCTACTTGCCAATAAAGATGCCAGCCTGATGATATCCAACCATCTACAACCAATTAATCTCTTCATGATGTTTGTTGGTTATCCCGGGACAGGAAAATCGCCAGCCGTCGAATCTGTCCTGAAAGGACTTAAAAACATGGACTGTATCAATGCTGAAACATTGATAAGCACAACCACTTCGTCTGGATTGGTTAAAACTCTATCTAAACAAGGAAGAGCATTACTTGCCTCGCCTGAACTGTTCGATGTACTGAACAARCTACTGAAAAACGATGAAGACAATGTGTCTGGCGACGTCCAACTATTGTGTAAGCTCTGGAGCGGCGAGGGATCGTCCTACCATTTTGCCACAGAATYCACTAGAGAGATCGACTCCAATACCSCCTTTTCCATCCTYGGTGCAACTCAGATCCAGAATGTGGCAACTRTCCTTTACCGTATGGACAAGGGACACGGTCYGATAGATYGCTTCCTTTTTACAGTGCCACTTGCCTTAAAACCTACTCCACAAGAAGAAGAGCAAAGCATTGAATACTTGAACAATCAAACATTCAAAGACTTTGATCGATTATTTACTGAAATCGAGCAAATGCATCATAACATCACACGCACCTACACGCTTAGTAATGCAGCGATGGACATACATAAGGCMTTGAAAACGCAACATGTTCATGAAGTTAATGAAGCAATCAAGAATGGGGACATACCACCGAAATCGAAGTCGTATGACTTAGTGGCTAGACTGGCYGTTCCAATCCATGTTATTACTGCCTGTGTAACTTCACTGCTCCAACAAAATGACCAAATGACCTGCAGTGAGGAAATCMACGAGGATATTTACAGAAAGTCCATGGCATACGTCGATTACCTCCATTCTCAGAAGGCAATGTTCACGGAATTTATCCACTCTATTTTAAACAAYGCAAAAGAATCAACRAAGCCCCAACCCACTGCCAGTGAAATTCAAAGTGCCATATTGAAATTTCCTGGACCACTTGTCACCTTCCAAGTGTTTAAGAAGTACGGCCCGAGACATCTACGTCCCTCGTTACAAAATCAGGAATTCAAGCAACATGCTGAGAGTATGAAGGACTTTGGTCAGCTAGTAGGAGTAAGAATTCCTAGATGTGCAAACAAGACTGACGTATACGTCAAGAGTAAGCCATCAGATATTATTGTATGGCCAGTAGAYGCATTGTGCACAAGAGAGGAGTACACAACCAAGTACCAGGAACCCTTAARTAGACTAATAACAGCAAATATTCAAAACGCACTGTCCGATTCAGGACTTTATGACTTTTAAATCAAAAACATTTCTCTTTATGTTAGTTTATTAACTTGCATTTTTATTACCCGCATTTACATTGTAATAATTCAGGAAGATTTATAATTCACAACGTTTTGTAAAATATAGTGCACTGAGGTTTATTGATCTTTGAAATGATATTTTAGATGATTGATTGTAAAAAAGTGGTTCAGTATTTGTTCTTAGTCATTCTATTAAATCATATTGGTTATTACTTATTGGGCAACTGAATTATTTTATTATTTATTTATTTTCTCGTTCTTTCAAAAACTGACTGCCGAGCCAACGAGCCACTAAAATATACTATT